TGAACTGGAGCTGAGAAGTGACAGGCCCAATAGGCTGGAGGGTTGGTTGGGGACTGTCCTGCAGGCCCCGCTCCAGCCATGGCAGGGCCCATGGGCAGGAGACATCGCTCTCACACCCTGTCACCCCCTTGAGCAAGCAGCCCTCAGACCCCAGCTCTGGGACCCTCTGGGAGAAACTGGGTTCAGCCCGTCCTCAACGCAGCCCAAGACCATCACAGGCAGGTTCCAGGCTCAGCTCTGCACCCCATCCCATGACTCTGGGTCTCAGTTTCCCTATCTGAACCCCAGGAAGCAGCCATGAGGAGAGGGTATGGGTTGGGCACGGGCACGGGCACGGCCCTCACTGGCACCACCAGCAGTGTGGGCTGCAGTGGCCCCCGGAGGGCCCAGTGACACCGCTGGCCCCCGCACACACACTCATCCCTAAGCCAGCCCAGATCTTTCCGCCTCGCACCCTTCCTGGGAGACCCTGACCCACACCGTGAAGCCCCCACCAGGCCCCCGCAGCAGAGTCTCCGGGCTGCACCCAGGGCTGGGTAGAGCCTTGGGCTCCCCACCCCCACACCCAGCTGTGCCCTGAGAACCTGCAGGCTCACCTGGCCCCACCCAGCAGGGTCCCTACTGCGGCTGGGGACACTGCTTTGTCACTGCAGAGATCACAGCTCGCCCCTGGCGGTCACGCGCCAGCTGCCATGGCCGTGGGGACTTCCTAAGTGCGACTCCGCACACAGCAGGGCGGGTCGGGTTTTGGGCGCGTGTTCCTGGGATTACAAAGTGGCACGTGCCAACCAGGGAACGTGGAACCAGAATCTGACAAGGGAAGCTGCCACGATGCAGCCCCAGAGAACCAGGAAAGCCATCACCTGGGGGAGGCTGAGGCTGGGGCTGAAACTTTAGGGCACACCTTTTCACAGAGCACGACTTCTCAACCAAGTGAAAGCAATTTGCTGTTTGAAAAAGCAAATTAACAAAAAAATCAGATGTCAAACCAGAAGGGTGGCTTCTGCCCAGAGGTAGTGGAGGCGCCTGCCAGACACTGGCCACCCCTCTGCTGCCCCGAGCACCCGGCTAGGCACCTTACTGCACGCAAGGGCCCGCACACGGGACGGAAGGTGCGGCTGGTCTCGGGCCCACGGGGCTGAGCAAGGCCTGGCCGACCACCGGGAGATACAGGGCCCAGCGGCCAGAGGACAGCCCTGGCCACCTGGGAGGTGGCGTCTGACACAGCCCTGGACGCTCCTCTCAGCCCCACATGCGGGAAGCTGCCCATCTCCGAAAGACCTGGGCAGAGGCCAGCAGCAGCACCCAGCACTGCCCTGGGGGCGGGAGGCGGCTCCCTGTCCCCTCTGGTCAGTACTACCAGAAGACAGAGTTATCACAGAAAACATGAAGGACAGCGAGAGCCATCCATCCAAACTGCCCCAGTATCCCTGGCCAGAGCAAGAGCAGAGCAAAGAGGATAGGGGGCACACCCAAACCACAATACCCCTCCCCACTTCCACGTTATACAGATGCGGAAAGTCAAGGGACCCGGCGCAGGTCTGCAGAGCCCCGGCCACCCTGCACCCTCAGTGCCCACAGGGTGTGGCCCAGGCAGCAGCATTGACTGCTGTGCACACACCCTGAGCCAGGCAAGCCCTGCCTCCTCGGCCCACAGCCGCCACTGCCAATGGTTAAGGAGCACCTGCTGTGTTCTCAGCACACAGGCACAGGCTGGAACTCTCCAGCTGCCCAAGAGGCAGGCACTGTCCCCCGACAGGGGCATGTCCAGAGGAGTCAGCCACTGCCAGGGCATGGGGGGTTAAGGGGGCTCTGCCTGGGGCACAGGGGTTGGAGGGGGCTCTGCCTGGGGCACAGAGGGTGAAGGGCTCTGCCCAGGGCACAGGGGGTGAAGGGGGCTCTGCCCGGGGCACAGGGGGTGAAGGGGGCTCTGCCCGGGACACAGAGGGTGAAGGGCTCTGCCCGGGGCACAGGGGGGCGAGGGATCTTCCTGGGGCACAGAGGGTGAAGGGGGCTCTGCCCGGGGCACAGGGGGTGAAGGGGGCTCTGCCCGGGGCACAGGGGGTGAAGGGGACTCTGCCCGGGGCACAGGGGGTGAAGGGGGCTCTGCCCGGGGCACAGAGGGTGAAGGGCTCTGCCTGGGGCACAGGGGGGCGAGGGATCTTCCTGGGGCACAGAGGGTGAAGGGGGCTCTGCCCGGGTCACAAGGGGCGAGGGATCTTCCCGGGGCACAAAGGGTGAAGGGGGCTCTGCACAGGGCACAGAGGGTGAAAGGGGGTCTGCTGTTTGGGACTTGGGGGAAGGAAGGGGGCCCGCCCTAGGGGACAGAGCAGGGCTGGAAGCCTATCTGGGTGGGGCCTGCACTGACACCCTCCGGACACTCTTCCACACGCAGGCTGCACCTCACCAGCAGGTCTGTACCTGTGTTTGCTTACACCCTTGCTGTGCCCAGCAGGGTGAGCCAGCCTCTGGGGTCACATAGGCTTCTCTGACTCTCAAGTGTCACCCCAGGGGTGCCATGTCCTCTATGGTCCCAGTGTGGGAACAGCCCCCAGGACCTGGGGGTGGAGTGACTGTGAGTGAAGGTGGGATGGGGACAGGCCCACTTCTGGGCTGGGGTCCTGGTGGCCCTGAGCATGCGCCACCATCTCTCTCAAGCGTCCCACGTGACAGGCCTCCAGAGCAGGCTGGACAGGCTGGGGCCATCAGCTCCCGTCACTGCGTGCCTCAGTGTCCCCATCTGTAGAATGGGGGCAACAACCAGCCTCCCTCGTGGGCCACAAGTCTGTGATGGGCAGCTCAGCACAGTGCCTGGTAGAGGGAACACTGCCCGGTCAGTCTCTGCTGTCAGCACGATCACGAATGATCTGAACTTCAGGGAAAAACCACTGCGCTTTAGCAAAGAGTGCGGCCAATCTGGAGATGCTTCTGGGCCAACCCAGAAGTTGACTCGTCCAGAAGCCCCGTACTTTCCAAGGCAGCCTCACAAGGGCGGAGAAAGGTGAAACGCCCTGGAGGTGCCGTGGCTGGGAGACTGCCAAGCAGAAGCAGGCGAGTCACACTAAGGTGGGTGGGGCATGGGGGGCGCTGGTCTGACCCACACAATTCCCCAAAGCCCACCGAGTTTGGCTGGGGAGGTGGTGACCCAGCGGAGGAGGTGGACAGTCAGAGCCGCTGCGGGAAGAGCACCGGGACTCAGACGGGCTAGGCCCACTGTGGCACCCTGACCTTAGGCGGGTGGCCCAGGCCTCCTGAAACTCGGCTTCTCTCCTCACTCGTTCCGGACACTGTGCATGGGACACTGTTGACACACCAACCTCTGTGCTGGGCACTGGACCCCACAGGAGAGCACGGGACAGACGCAGGGCCTGCTCTCTGGCAGCTCAGAGGTGCTGTGGGGAGAGCCCAGCACACAGGGCAAACACACCACCAGACAGTGGCACCCGGTGGTACCGATACGGAAAGCGGGCGAGACTGGCAGCTGGGGCTGTGGGGAAAAGGGCTGCCACTTCAGACGGGGCTCGAGGTGACGCGGGCGCTGAGACACGAAGGCGCCAACCAGTGAGAACAGGAGGAGACCAGACTGGCCCCTGCTGCAGCTGGAGGGTGAGGAGGCCGTGGTGGACAGGGCTTTCGAGGCCACAGTTAGGGTTTCTGTTTTCCCTCCTGGCAGGGGACGCAGATGGGGCAGGCAGAGTGGTGGGAGGTCTGGAACAGCGTGACCAGTCTCACACGCTGCAAGGCAGCTCAGCCCAGGGCCCAGCCTGTGGTAGGTGCTCAGTAAACGCAGTCCATGACATTATTGTCACTGAGAAGGCAGAAAACAGCCCTGGAGGTGGGCCCACCACACCCCACCAGGAGCCACCTAAGGCCCCCAGGTGTGCATGACGGGACAGCCAGGCTGTGTGGTGAGCACAAGCTATGACACCCGTGTCCTGTGCTCACAGGGGCCCCACCTCTGTCCATGCACCCAGACACAAGGCGGCAAACCTGGCCCAGGGCCACATCCATGGCCACCAACACCTGGCCCTGGGGCTCTTTCCAGCCCCCAGCAATCCCCAGGGTTGGGGTGAGAGCCTGGAGAGGACTCAGTGCAGGGACCTGCAGGAGACATCTCCCACGCCCACAAAGCTCCGCCTGAGACTGGCGGATCCCAGGCCACGGGCTCCCAAACCCCAGCATAAGTTAAGAACAGCTGCAAACCAAGTGATTCCTAGGATCCAAAGTCCAGCAGACAAGGGTCCACCAAAGTGAGTGGTGCATGGGGCACTCCTCACTGGAGGTCTTTGCGCTCTCGGAGGGCAGGCTCTCGGAGTCCTGAGGCTTCCAGGACTCTGGGGGGCCTGGCAACATTTCAACTCGTGCCTGCTCTGGGGAGACCACAGCTCCCATTCACCCCACTCGCAAGCTCTCTGACAGTATTTCATTTCCTTCTCTACTCACCTGGGTTCAGGCAAGAGAGCAGTATTTGCTCAGCAAATATTGTCCACGATAACTCAGCCAGAGAAGCAATATTTTTTGCCAACCTATCAACCATGCAGCAAGCAGCGGTGAGCAAGAGGGGTCTTAGGGTTAACCCTCCTCTCCCGCTCAAGGGGAAGGGAGGAACAGGAAGAACCTCAAAGTATCCATTTTATCACCGCCTCCACGAAGTCCAGCACGGCCCAGCTCCCCTAGCACGTCCAGAACGAACAGAGCGATATTTTGGCAACAGAAAAACAACTGAAAAAGGGCCGACTGTGCTGCCAGCCAGCCCACGGTTTAGAATACAATCTAGATTTTTTTTTCTCCTGCGGCTCAAAACACCCCTACACCCACCCGCCGCTGCTAGGTTCTCCAGACCCGACAGTCGAGGCGCGCGGCGGACACCAGGGTCCCCGGGCAGGAGGGCTAGGTGGGACCGGACCTCCCGGCAGGGGTCCCCGCGGCGGGGGCCGGCTCCGGGCCGCTCCCAGCCCAACTTTGGCGGGCGGAGGCGCATCCGCTTCCCGGACACCTACCTCTAGGGCCTCCAGGGTGCTGAAGCTGGCGATGGCGAAGCCGTCGATGACTCCTCCTCCTGCGAGCTGGACTCGCGGCGGCGGCGGCGCGGGGCGGCGCGGCGCGGGGGGCGGGCGGCCAGCGGGAGGCGCGTTCTCTTGCGCTGGGTCGGTCGTCGCCCGGCGGCTCTGCGCCGGGGTTCGGCGCCTCCGGCGCGCGCCGCGGGTCCCGCTGCGCGGCCAGCGTCGGCGGACTTGGCTCCATGCTGCGCCGGTGCGCCCGTCGGGCCGGGGCCTTGAGCCGGCCGGCTCCGCGCCGTGCCCGCTCGGTACGCGGGCCGCGGCTGCGTGGGCGCGCGCGGGTGGGCCTGGGCGCGGCGCGGCGGGGCCGGCGGGTGCCGGAGCGCGTGGCGGCTCCCGGCCGGGGCGCGCGCGGACCCCGGCCGGTCGGGCGGGCGCATCGGAGGGGGTGCTGCGCTCAGCGGCTCGCGCCCCCCGAGGCGGCCATGCGCGCGGCGCGGGATGGGCGGCGGGGCGGGGTGGCGGGGCGTCGACGGAGCGCCGGCGGGCACCGGCTCGTGAGGGTGCAGCGGCGCGCTGGAGGGATACAACTGCGTACTCCGCTCCGCGTGCGCGCCAGAGAGTGAGTGGCTCCGCGGCGCCCCCGTCCTCGGTCCGCCCAGCCCCCGCCAGCTCCGTGGCTTGCTCAAGTCAGGCCCGTCTCCGCTTCCCTTTCCTGGGCCCGCCCTTTGGTAGGCGCCCCATCCCGCGCGTCTGCTCGCCAGCCCGCCCCATCGCCCGCCTTCCCCTTGCTAGGCCCGCCTCTCTTCATGGCCGCCTGCCCTGCCACAGTCCGGCCATCTCGGTGCGTCTGCTCAGCCAGGCCCCGCCCCTGCCCACCTCCCTTTTACTGGCCCCGCCCCCTCTCGTCAGGCCCCGCCCCGCGAGCAGGCCCCGCGCCTGTGGTCGGCCCCACCCACCTTCAGGCCGCCCGCCCCATGCCCCCGCCTGGACGCGCCCCCCGCGGAGTCCCGAGCCGGCTCCGCCCGGGCGAGGCGGACGGCACGTGGGGGCTCGGCGGGTCCAGGTCCCGCGGACTCTCGGCCCAGAGCGGGCGGGAGACGGAAAAGCCGGGGCCCCGGCAAGGGCCGAATACGATAACGTCGAGGGGCCGGTCCGGAAAGTGGGACGGGAGGGTCGCAGCGCGCTGGGTGGGCCGGGCCCGGGCGGGGACGCCCGTCTCCGGGGAGGTGCGGCCGGCCGGGAGGGGCCTGCCAGGCCCAGGGCTGGGCCGCGGGCCGGTCGCCCTGCCCCTGGGGACAGAGGGCCCGCGTGCTGGGCGTGGGGGAGGCCTGGGACACCGCCTGTTGGCGGGGCTGACCCGGCGACAGCTGAGACAGTGGCTCGCAGGGCGGCCAGGCCGGCGGGGGAGGGGCTTCCTGTACACCCGGACGCCTCTCCCTGCCCACCCCCGGCCTCCCGGCGTGGGGGCTGGGCCCTCCCCACCCTCCTCCCGTTCTGGGTTTTGTCATGAAAATGTTTTTCCTGGGGGTGGGGAGCACATCCTCCCTTCTGGTTTTTAAGAGGCTCCTTAGGAGCCTGGGCACTGTCCCTGTGCCCCCCTAATTCCCCTTGCGGGACAGAGGGCCAGAAATTGGGGAGAGTCACGTGGGCAGTATTTCAGGCTCTCACGTGGAAACAGGCCACTTCCTGAGCAGCCTGGGGGGCCACCCCAAGGCCAGTCGGACCACAGGGGACTTTCTGCGTCTCCTTCCCCCACATCCAGCAATTGCTTGGGCAGGTCTGAGTCCTGGCTGTGAGGTTTTCAAATACGGAAATATACAGTCTTCTGGCGTGTGCCTGTGTGCCCCAGCGGAGGGCTGGTCTCTGGAGACCCCCCAAGGGGCCTCTTTTCTGGGCTCCTTCAGGGTTTCCCTTCCCTCCCCTGGGAAGAGGCCCAGGTGTCTCTCCTTTTTTGCTTTTTCTTTTTTTTTTTTTTGAGACAGAGTCTCACTTTGTTGTCCAGGCTAGAGTGAGTGCCATGGCGTCATCCTAGCTCACAGCAACCTCAGACTCCTGGGCTCAAGCAATCCTACTGCCTCAGCCTCCCGAGTAGCTGGGACTACAGGCCTGCGCCCCCATGCCCTGCTAATTTTTTCTATGTATATTACTTGGCCAATTAATTTCTTTCTATTTATAGTAGAGACGGGGGTCTTGCTCTTGCTCAGGCTGGTTTGGAACTCCTGACCTCGAGCAATCCTCCCGCCTTGGCCTCCCAGAGTGCTAGGATTACAGGCGTGAGCCACCGGGCCCAGCCTGTCTCTCTCCTTTGATTCATTTCCAGGTGGCTGGGCTGCCAACCTGGGGACCCGGCACCTGTGCTCTGGGCTCAGCAGCTCCCCAGGCAGGGCTGGCTTTGGAAACCCCCCTCTCCGGGAGAAACATCTGGGCTGAGGTGTTGGTGGATGGGAAACACCTGGGAGAGGGGCTGGGGCTGCGGGCAGAATTGCGGAAGTGCGCCTGCCTGCCCGTGGGCCGAGGCTTTCTGCCTCTCTGCAGTCTCTTGCCTCAGTGGCTGCTTGTCCCACCAGGGTTCCAAGCTTCCCTGGCAGAGCCTGCCCCACAAACTGGCAGGACGGGGGGGGGGGGGGTTGCAGCGTAGAGACCCATGGTGGTCAGGAGACAGCGTGACCAGCAGGGCCTAGGGGGACAAGGTGATGAGAACCACTGGGCTCCCCAGAACAATGGCCCCCAAGCCTTTGAAACATGGCAAGAATGAAGCTAAAGAATTGGATCTTGCATTTATTGAATTTAATCTGAAATCAAATAGTCCCATGTGGCTGCCACGTTGGACAGGGAGGGCAGGTCTAGAACCAGATTGCCGAGGGGGGGGGGGACGCTCCATCCTCAGCCCTGCCACAGAGGTAGCTCTGTGCCTCAGTTGTCCCATCTATGAAATGGGGGCGGGAGGTGGTGACACTGGCGCCATGGAAGGTCTTGAAGGCCCCCTGAGTCCTGTGTGGGTGTCAGTGGTTCTCAGCCTTGGGGCGTGTCAGACTTAAGACTTCCAGCGGACGGATGGACGAGGCAGGTGTGAGTTCCTGGTCCCTCAAGTCCCAGTGGGGTGGGGCTTGAGAATTCCAGTTTCCGATCCGTTCTCTGGGAACTGGGGGCTCCAATGCTCCAAGGGTGTCTGCTCCTATGAGCCACCTCCCCATGGCCCTGCTCCGGCCACCAAACCCTCCAGCCCCGGCCTCCTTCTCAGCCAGGTCCCCTCTTCTCTTTGCCCTCCGTCCTACTGGGATCCCAGTAACTCCTTCCCAGGCCCCTGGGGCTCGGCTCTCTGGCCCCACTGCCAGCCCAGGTCTCTCTCTGGCCCCCACGGCACATGGCTCAGGGCCCGTCCTGCCCGGTCGGCCCAGGGAAGGAGACCTGTCCTCCACTTGCAGGGACCCCCCCCCTCCAGGTGGGCTGGCCTCCAGAGCATGGCTGCATCTCCCCAACACATGGGCTCATCGCTCTGCATCCCAAAGCCCAGGCCTCACCTGGCCACTCCCTGACCCAGGCCCTCACCTGGCCACTTTCCCCTCCCCCACCCTCACTGCCACTGGTCCCCCCAGGCCTCACCTGGCCACTTTCCCCTCCCCCACCCTCACCTGGACTCTGTCCCCCAGGCCCTCACCTGGCCACTCCCTACTCACCTGGCTGCTCCCAGCAGAGCATCCCTGGCAGAGCTCTGAGTGGCCTTGGGAACGTCCACGGCTCCCAGGACGGCAGGTCCAGCTCGTCAGCCTCAGCCGCTGGGCTCTGCTGCAGGGGGTCCCTCACTGCTCTCTGTGCGGCTCTCGGCAAAGCCGATTGACAAGAAATTGTATCAGAATTAAATTTGCTCCAACAGGTCCCAATAAGGCCCTGTATGTCCGGCAAGCTGTCTGTGCTTTGGGGTCCAAGCTTGCTCATGGGTGACAGCTGGAAACCACATTTTATCTCTGGCAGGCCCGTCTCAGTGCCCCGTCTGGGACTGCCGCCTGCTCCCAGCTTGGGGCGGACGCTGCACCCCTCGCCCTCGACCCTCCAGTGGCCCCTGGATGTGCGTGAACACCCGACCCACCCACATGGACGTGGTGAGGCGGGGCGGCCAGCCACGAGGCCCCCAGCCCCCCCACCCCGAGTACCACCAGCTCTTGGTGTGACACTGCCGGGTGACAAGCAGCCCTCGGACACTCAGGGGTGACAAGCAGCCCCCGGACACTCAGGGGTGACAAGCAGCCCCCCGACACTCAGGGGTGACAAGCAGCCCCCGGACACTCAGGGGTGACAAGCAGCCCCTGGACACTCAGGGGTGACAAGCAGCCCCTGGACACTCAGGGGTGACAAGCAGCCCTCGGACACTCAGGGGTGACAAGCAGCCCTCGGACACTCAGGGGTGACAAGCAGCCCCTGGACACTCAGGGACAACGCCCTGTATCTTTTCTTGCTCTCAGGGCTGCAGGCGGACGGGGGGTTCACTTCAGACTGTGGGTGGGGTTCAGGTCGATTTCGGGGTGTCTTTCTCTGGGGCGTGGCTGAGAGGGAGGGGCTGTTGGGGTTCTCTGTCCAGGCTGGAGGGCCACGCCTCTCTGAGGGAGCATGGCTGCGCTGCGCCTGCCCATCTCACCCTCCAGGTCTGGCCTCGGCTCCCGCGGGGTGGGGCGGGCACTGCCTGGTGGCAGGGCGCCAGGGGTGACCCCGTTGCAGAGAGGAAGCGGGGAATCGGGGGCTGCGTTCTCATTTGTCACGGCAGTGACCTGGGTGACCCCACTCAGATGCCCGCTGTTCCTGGGATTGCAGCTGGGATCTGTCCCGAGCGGAACGTCTGGAGATCCAACCTTGGGGGCCACCCATCCCAAACTCGCCCCTTCGACTACCTCCTGCCTCCGCCTGCTCTTGCCTGTTTCCCAGCTGGGCCCAGCGTCCCAGCCTGCAGATCGAGGGCCTGTGTGGGCCTCTCAGCCTCCACAGCCTGACTCCCCTAATCAATGCCCTCTCATCCATCCATCCATCCATCCATCTTTTTTATCTTTCTTCCTTTCTTTTTTTTTATTTTTTAGAGACAGAGTCTCACTTTGTTGCCCAGGCTAGAGTGCCGTGGCGTCAGCCTTGCTCACAGCAACCTCCAACTCCTGGGCTCAAGCGATCCTCCTGCCTCAGCCTCCCGAGTAGCTGGGACTACAGGCACTCGCCACTATGCCTGGCTCATTTTTTCTATATATGTTTAGTTGGCCAATTAATGTCTTTCTCTTCTTTAGTAAAGACGGGGTCTCGCTCTTGCTCAGGCTGGTCTGGAACTCCTGATCTTGATGGATCCTCCTGCCTCGGCCTCCCAGAGTGCTGGGATTACAGGCGTGAGCCACGGCGCCCAACATCTCCTTTTTGTGTTTTATCTAGTAACATCTTTCCATCTATCGATCATCTGTCCCTC